TAAAACCAATTATTAGGTCATACTATTTGTTAGGCCATCATTTACTGAATTTTCGACGTTTATTTTTTTTAAACGTTTTTCACGATCCTGACTAGTTTCACACTGCGGATGGGGTGCTACTCCTTCATATCTATCTGATCGAATTTCAACCTCTGATCAGAGGGCCGTGTTTGTTGGTCCTCATCTGTATTGTTTGAATGTACTCTTGAGCTTGAATATTGTTCGTTATCCCGTATTCCATTCTTTCTGATACTTTAACCATCAAATCTGAATATTCTTTTGTTTCTTCATCCATATGCAATTTGTTGGCATTTTCTTCGTATTTCATTCCTTCTGATACTTTAACCATCACAACTGAATACTTATTCTATATAGTTTCTTCATGTATATGCAATTTCTTGGCATTTTCACCATTCACAAAACTATGTTGAACAACTGCAAATATTTTTAATGCTAGAAACTTTTAATATGTTTGATAATTGTTAACCTGATATTATCACTTTCTATGTCAAAATACATCAAATTCAAATCATACAATAAAATTTGATAAAAAAAAATATGATTAAATTGAAAAAGTTTAAAGAGTGGCGGTTATATAATATTATACACCATACATTTAACAGGGAAAGAGCGGTTTGATCCGCTCGTGTTAGATCACGGCATGCAAAAAACAGGTTTTTCTTCTAGAAACATTTTGTCCACTTATACTTAAATATTATTAATGTTTTGCATCGGGTAATTTCTATACATTTTTTATATAAAACAACATAAAGATCCACGAAAAACAAAGTCATATTAACAATAACTAGATTTACCATGCACAAATATATTTAATATTGGAATACAGCATCATTATTTGATAAAATTCTAAGTAGAAATGTTATAATTTTTATTCTCATTTTTTGCTCTATCTGTATCTTACGACGAAATTTCATTGATGGAGATAACGAACAGTATACAATTTAACCTAATAATTAGTGTGAAAAACGTCAGATACAGTAGCATTTGAATCAATGATAAATCGTACAATTTCATAGTATCGACCATAGAACTTTGGAAATGTTAACTTTGAAAGAGACTGCTGATATTCTTTTTTTAGCAACTTGTTTGGAAATAATTTACCCCGTTTTATAAATTGCTCATGCGGAGAGCATGTTCTTGCGTGTCGAATCAACTGAGAGATAAACAACATATGCAGATGATAAAGGTATGAGGGCAATTGACCATTGAAAAATAGAAGTCATCACGTTTATCATAAAGCTTGATTGGCTAGATGACTATTAGGCCTAACGTCTTTTCGAGTAAAATATCTAAATGTTTTTTTATATTTTTATAGATATGGCAGACTCTATATGGTATCTCTTATTTTAATAAAGCTCGACGGGATATATCATTTCGACATAAAAATGGCAATATCCATTGTCATTGACTATACGTCATCGATATATCTAAATATCGAGTTGAAGGCCACGGCAAGTGTTTTCTTCTTTTTCACGTTTAAGCCAAATTCTGCTTCATATGAATTCAAAAATAGGTCTGCTAATAATAAGGAAAGAGGGATTATTTAAACAAACATTTACGATTGAGATTAGAAATTGTATAAATTCTTTAAATGTATTAAATAATACTGAGTAATCACTCGATAATGACAAACCCTATAATTCGTTTAAAAGAATTCAAACACTTCAAATTATTTTTCATGAAGTTCTGTAAAAATGTGTCCTTTCAAAGAAGTTAACACCTAAACTCTTAAGAGCAAGTCTCAGCAAAGGTTTTTATATTTAGAAACCAACAGTAAACTGACGTTAGTGTCAAAACTGGTGTGAGTTTGTCCGCTCTTGGTGTATATCCATGTCGCGTATTGTTAGATTCCACCCGTACATTTCCAGATTCTGTAGTTGTTTTTCCAATAGTATGAATGATTACGTATTATATCTCGCTACATAATGGTAATCCTGTGCAAAATGTAGATCAAATTTCATTAAGAAAATACGCATATGTATGCAGGTACATAGGAAGACGGATTATTAAATCGAAAGAAAGCGCTTGTATTAAATAAAATTTGGAAGTTCTGCATGTTCTTCTTTCTTTCACTTTAGAGAGAGAGAGAGAGAGAGAGAGAGAGAGAGAGAGAGAGAGAGAGAGTTTCTAGATTTAAATCGCTGTACCTTTTCTTTCCTGGCTTTCCTCTGTTTTATTACATTTGAAAGCATATTTTTTGTTTTCGCTGTATGTAAAGCAATCCATTTTCGTGAGGTCGCAGTTTATTAGTTGGGGAGAAGAAGGTTCTGTGACCATGTCACAAATTCTGGTCACCTATCAAAATAAAACTTGAACTGACTATACAATAAGGTAGATCAAAATACGATGGGTTTGTCTTCTTTTCAAATTTATCATTGAGATCTAATAGGTTTATCCCTGAACCAAATAAACGTGAAAATTTATTATGAATAAAACTGAACATACATTCTCCATTCTATTTTCACAAAACATTCCTTCAAAATCATCTGGACAGTCACATTGAATATCAGGCGCAAGCACGTTTTCCCCCGTCTTACACGTCAGATTGCCGCCGTTAATACAGGGCCCTTTGTTGTGGAGACTGAATAGTGCACACTCTCTACCTTAAAATTATTTCTAGAAATAATAAAATAAATACACATACTGAATTTCAAAATCAGTAATATCCTTTCTCTAATTATTCTGTGAATACTGATGGAAAGCATTTGTAAAATTTCTTACATGTTAATCGTTTCACATCGTCCGAGTTCTCTCCATTTGGACAAGCCGTATGGTCGTGGTATTTTGCTTCATTTACGTTATAAAATGTACAAACACACTCAGATTTAATGTATACATCAGTATTGCCACACTGTAAAGTCTCGTGTCCTATTAAGGGATGATTTCTCTGTTTTAATCTATGCACGTTTCTGATGGTATCTCGAATAATTTTTCAGTACAACATGAATTACTTGTATCAAGTAAAAAATCTTTTCTTGAGTTCACTTATATTAATAAACGTTTATCATTGATTAAAAATCATTTCTTATTCTGAAAAACAATTTAACAAGTATTAAAAGGTACCTGATCCATGTTGTTGGCATGCCGTTTTGTCACCAACTAAGAATTGGGGAACTCCTGTATAATATTTAATAATTAGAATTTCTCAGTTATAAATTCTGAATAAAACGTATGTACTATTATTCGTAAATGGATAAGAATGAACAATATATATAACAACTACTTTGTGGTGGAACAATGGCTTGTCTTTTCTGTTATAATCACACACTGGAGTGGTAAATGTACATCTGAAATGTTAAAAAAAATTGGAGGGGTTGAGTTTTGGGTTAAAGAAATAAAATACAAGTTTGCTATACAATTTTCCGAGTGAATCTGGTACTTCAAAGGGAGCGATTAAAGGATGGGATGGATGGAAACATCATTGGTTGGAATTAGACAGATAACTTTTATTTCAAAGTCGAAATTTTTCAAACATAAACAATTTAATTATGGTTGTAACGATGTATTTGATTGGATAAAAAATTATTTTATATCGTATAAAATGGGTTGCCTACGTCACAATGACGTGCGTCAAAAACGTATCAATACGCATGACGTTACATTCAAATTTTGCACAAATTGAAGTCATTTTATTAGAACAATAATCTTTTTTTCTTACATCAAATGAATGAAAATTAAATTATAAGCAATGAATTTAATAGCTACCCATTTTATACGGTATATAAACTAAGCTGGAACAGTTTACGCTTTTTTTTTATAAAATGGGTAGCTATTAAATTCATTCCTTAATTAAATATTTGACATAGAAGATGATGATGTTTGTTAAATGTCTTCCTTGATGGCTACTCTGATGTATGGTTTGGGACCCGACCTAATGTTCGAAATGATAATTTAACATTTCGAACAGTCAACCACGAAATCAAATCTGCAAAGGCCAATATTTTTTTCTCCTCAAATCTTAACAATTTGTACCCATCCACCCTCGAAAATAATCGGTTTCATTAGCTTACCTGCTCAAGTGAGCTTTTCTAATCCCATTCTGTCCGTCGTCCGTCCGTCTGTCCGTCCGTCCGTCATGTCCGTCCGTCTGTAATCTTTTCACATTTTCAACTTCTTCTCAAGAACCACTGGGCCAATTTTAACCAAACTTGATACAAAGCATCCTTAGGTGAAAAGAAGTTTGAATTGTTAAAATGGAGGGCCAAGTCATCTCACAAGGGAAGATAATTCAGAAATAGGGGAGATAAGGTCATTAAAGGGATCGTTAAAAAATCTTCTCAAGAACAACCATCGTCTCAAGCCACGGTCCGGAGTCCGCATAAAGCTTTCTCCTACCCAAGGCTGCTTGATCATAAAAAGTGGCGTAATCTTGAATATTTACGCCTCTCTATTGTACGTCATATTAGGAAGTTTTGTTTCCATCGCAACAATTGACATCAACAGTATACAAGGAATATTTCGTAAACTGCAATTAGATATTGAAAGGTCACGAAAAAGTTCATCATCCGACTATGCTTTACTCACATTGGTCAATATTTTAATGAGCTACGAAGAATTCTCTCCTCGTTCAACCACGGCCAGAATGGGAGAGGATCGTAAGATTTTGGCCGTGGTTTGCGACGATGAAGAACCACTGGACCAGAAAAGCTGACACTTATGTGGAAGAATGCTGGGGTAGTGTAGATTCTAAATTGTAAAATTCATGACCCCAAGGGGTAGGGCGGGGCCACAATAGGGAATCAAAGTTTTACATTTAATTAAATACATGTAAATAGGAAAAATCTTTATAAATCTTCTTCTCAAGAATCACTTTACCAGAAAAGCTTAAACTTATGTGAAAGCATGCTGGGGTAGTGTAGATTCTAAATTGTAAAATTCATGACCCCAGGGGATAGGGCGGGGCCACAATAGGGAATCAAAATTTTACATAGAAATAAATAGGAAAAATCTTTAAACAATCTTCTTCCCAAGAACCACTTTACCAGAAAAGCTGAAACTTATGTGGAAGCATGCTGCGGTAGTGTAGATTCTAAATTGTAAAATTCATGACCCCAGGGGGTAGGGCGGGGCCACAATAGGGAATCAAATTTTTACAATGAAATTAATAGGAAAAATCTTTAAACAATCTTCTTCTCAAGAACCACTGGACCAGAAAAGCTGAAACGTATGTGGAAGCATGCTGAGATAGTGTAGATTTTAAATTTTAAAAATCATGACCCGCGGGGAAGGGCGGAGCCACAATAGGGAATCAAAGTTTTATAGAAAAATAAATAGGAAAAATCTTTTTTTAAAATTCTTCTCAAGAACCACTGGACCAGAAATACTGAAACTTATGTGGAAGCATGCTGGGGTAGTGTAGATTCTAAATTGTTCAAATCATGACCCCCAGGGGTAAGAGGGGCCACAACAGGGAATCAAAGCATTACATAGAAATATATAGGAAAAAATTAAAAATCTTCTCAAGCACCACTCGGCCAGAAGAGCTGAAACTTATATGGAAGCATGCTGGGATAGTGTAGATTCTAAATTGTTCAAATCATGACCCCTGGGAGTAGGGCGAGGCCACAATAAGGAATCAAAGTTTAACATAGAAATAAACATGAAAAATCTTTTAAAAAATTTCTTCTCAAGAACCTCCGGGCCAGTAAAGCTGAAACTTATGTGGAACCATAATAGGGTAGTTTAGATTCTAAATTGTTCAAATTATGACCCAGGGAGTTGGGCGGGACCGTAACAGGGAATCAAAGTTTTACATAAAAATAAATAAGAAAAATCTTTAATAATCTTCTTCTCAAGAACCACTGGGCCAGAAAAGCTGAAACTTAAGTGAAAGCATCCTTGGGTAGTGTAAATTTTAAATTACCCAATTTAGAATTGACCCAAGGGGCTAAGGGTGGGGTCACAATAAGTATAACTAGGGGGAAAATGGTAAAGAACAGCATGGTTAAAGCTACTCAGGTGAGCGATGTGGCCCATGGGCCTCTTGTTGAATTTAGGGCACTGCTTACTGCATTTCATGTTAGACATAGCTGCAGAACTGTAGCTCTCCGAAAAAAAATATTTTGATAGACCGGAGAGCTACAGTGCCACCCATTGAAAAAACTGTATATTTATTGCGCACAAAAAAGTGCGCTATTTCTCGATTTTTTTTCTCCATGTTGTTAAAACTGCCATCTCAAAATATTACTAACCGTGAGTTCTTAACATATTTTTTCACTGTTTCCACATCATAACATTCCTTATAATTGTTTTTAATAGCCCTTCTGGCCCTGAAATTGAGATCATCGAAAATTTCGTCTATTTATACTGCCATTTTGGTTTGCAAGATAATTCGGTCCAACGCGCTTCAAAATATACAAATGTAAACTACGAAAGTAATTGATAGAGGAGTAAGGACTTTGTTGAAATCTAGTTTTTTTCGCAACTGAGGTCAGAGTTTGGAAGAATTAATCCAGAACCAAGCGCACTTTTTTCTGTGCAATAAATATACATTTTTTTTTCAATGGGTGGCACTGTACAGTTTTCCGGTCTATTAATATAATTTTTTCGGAGAGCTACAGTTCTGCAGCTATGTTAGACAATGATATTGTCATTTATGTTTTTTTTACACAAATGCAAACTTTAAGGAATATTTCACTATTGGAGAAATCTTACTGCTGGTACATGTAAAGGTAGTGTCACTAAATCCAACTGTTCTCTCGAAAACTTACCAGATTGTTGCATGGAATAAGTTGTCATAAACACACATATCGCTATATTTCATTCTCTTTTCAAATCGTCTTCAAAACATCATTTAAAACCTACAATAAAAGAGAAAAAATATTAAACTGTCATACAATTCATCTCAAATTGCTTTACTTGGTCTTAAATCTCGCCTTTGGTGATCTGTAAAAACTTTCAGTCAAGGAGAGGAAAGTAATTTGTTAACATAAAAGGAAGTTTTCCATTATATATGTACATTATTAGAATCAAAGGTCTAAAATAATTCACAAATTTATTTTATACCTCAGTCCTCTGCATTAATTTCCAAATACCGGCTTTGTTAAGAGTTTAACATACATGTATCTCGAAGTAAAAACTACTTGAATGATCTTTATCGTATTTATATTCATTTTGGAAAAGAAATTATTGTAGTCAAGCCCAGGGTTTTAAAAAAATGGAAATACCCAGATACTTAAGATAGAAAATATGCAGACAGAGTCTAAATAACTTCAACAAAATAAGGTCACCTGAGTATTAATATTCGAATCATTACCTAGAATAACATGTTTTCATTTTAATTTTAAAATTGTGAATCAAAACGAAAGTTACCGTAGTGCTTAGAATCATCAAGTACAGTTTATTTTAAATTTTGTTTTTTAAATTTGAATTTATTAACTGAAATTACATACCGGATGTAAAAAGCAAACTAACAATACGGCACTGTAGTATATATAAACATTTCCAATTTTAGTATGTCATTATAACAAACACAGAATTTGCAAAATTATTTTTGAATTCATCAGTCTGTAATCAATATTATTTAATTACATTTGTGTACTAACGTTTTGCATAACTTGTTTATTGCACTCAGCAAAGCCAATCAATTAAAATAATGTTTATCAGTAAAAACAAAATCCATTAATCCTAACTAAATTAGTCTATTCACTGAAAGAAAAACCTAGTGAATTTAACTACTATACCTCGAAAAGCGTTTATCTTGATTAGTAAACTTTCAGTTTACTGGATAGTGAGTTATGTAGCGGGGGTCTTATAGATACTTTACCTAGTGAAAGTAACTGATACATTCTAGATTTAGTGATGTTATCTAGTAAATTTACCCAATACCTAGTTTTAAAGTAGTTGTATGGACAGTAAATTTACTAATTTTTTTATTGACTTTAAAGGTGCATAGACAGAGATTTGTATGGAACGCCAAATTAACATAATTATATTCAAATATTTGTACCTATCTTCAAGTAATTGTACTTATCTTCAAATGAATTGTACCTGTCTTTAAATCAATTATAACTAAAGATAGGTACAATTCACTTATCCTATCTTTAATTCATTTGAAGATAGGTACAATTAATTTGAAGATAGGTAAAAATGGGTATAATAGATTTAAAGATTGGTACAATTGAATTGAACCTATCTTTTATTACTAAGATATTGGCAATAATAACTACTCACTTTATCATACGTCATTTCCGTCAGTTTCGGGGTATTCGGGTATAGTATATATGCTTTTTGCTCACTTATTGATATACATGTGTATTCTAATAAGTATATGATTCTTTTTGCACATTTTGAATTTACTTTTACTTCTCCTTTTATCCTCGTTGTCATCGCACTGTAGGTTCTGTGTGTTTCCCTCCATGTCTCAAAGGGAGCGTTTGTTCAACAACACAAAACGAATTGAACCTAGGTATAATTGAATTGTATCTATTTTCAAATCCTTTGTGGATATGTCTTATAATTGAAGCTATCTTCAAATCAATTGTACCTATCTTTAAATCAGTTATACCTACGTTCAAATGAATAAGAGATAGGTATATTTCAATTGAACATATCTTTAATTGAATTGAAGATATGTGTATAATTCACTTGTACCCAGGTATAATTATCTAGAGATAGGTATAATTATTTCTACCTACATTGTATCTTCAATTCAATTGTTCCTATCTTCAATTTAATTGTACCTATCTTTAACTCAAGTGTACCTATCTTCAATTCATTTGAAGAGAGGTACAAATGTTTGAATATGTGTTAATTTGGCGTTCCATAGTTTGAAGTTAATATTTTCTATAATATCACGACATATATTTTAAAAGCATTTTACACGAAAATATATTAAAATTCTTACTTCATATAAAAGTTATTTAGAGTTATTTTTGGATAGGTTTGATTGACACACATCCTTGCACTTTCACAAATTTTAATTTTTTTCTTAATACTACTATATACATCTTGATAAATACACAAATTACTAGTACTAGTATAACAACTGTGTTTAGTTAATTTTACCCACTTGTTGTATATTCAGTTACTGATAGCTAACTTTACATATCCTGAAAAGTTATACGTTTTGGTATTACTGTTTATTATTTTAAAAGTTCTAAGTATCTTTTTTTCTTTTTTGCAAATATCATTTCTGAATTGTTGCAGAGCTCTACAGAACTATTGAAATATTGTCATATTTGCTATGAATATTATCGTTTGTCCTATCTTGTGACTCACCGACAGGGGAGAGAGATTAGATTAAGGAAGGGGATTGAATATCATAAGAAAAAATAGAGAGAGAAAAATCTAATTCTGAAAAGGGAAATTTGATGACACCAAATCCAAAGCAAAACCAACAAGGACCTCTGAAAACAGAGGTGGGATCAGGCGCTACGGAGGAGTAAAAACCCTGTATCTACTGGTCATTCCTGCCGTGTGGAAATGACGAACAATATTCAAGATTAAAACAAATCTGATAAATTGTACTTGCTGACAAGGTCACTAACGAAATGATGACTTTAAAAGAGACTGTTGATATTCTTGTTTCACCAACTTGTTTGTCAATAATTTTCCTCGTTTTATAAATTGTTCATACGTAGAGCATGCTCTTGCGTATCGAATCAACTGAGATATATAAACTCCGTATGCAGGTGAAAAAGGTAAGTTGCTGAATAGGTACAGGTAAGGGGTGTTGACGATAGAAAAAATAAAGTCATCACGTTTATCAAAGAGCTTGATTGTTTGAATACCATTAATGTATTTTTCAAGTAAAATATCTAAATATAAAACAGATGTGTCAGAATCTGTGGTATCTTTTATCTCAAGCTCACCAAGATATATCGTATCGACATAAGAATGGAAATTGCCGCTGTTAATTGACTATACGTCGTCGATATATCTAAATATAAAATGTCTAGCTGAAGGCCACAGCAAGTGTTTTCTTCTTTTTTTCGCATAAGATTTTAGACAAATTCAAAAAAAAAATTCAAAGTACGTTGGTTTTGTTCTAATTTTAAGGTAGGATTCTTCTCATATTTCTAATATTTAAAAATTAATGAAATTTTCACAGAATCAAGAAGACAATATCAGTAAGTGATAGTATCAGTGAAATTAAATTTGACCGTTTTATATAAGAGGCAAGGTCAGGTCAAGGCCATTATCTTTTTCCTTGATATTAAGAAGTTGCCAATCATGTGATGCCTACGTCTATTTCAAAAGTACAGGTTGTTCTTTTTGCATAAGAATATATAACTATATTTGTTCTATAGCATGATATTACCAAATACCCATAAATAATTTAACTTAACTGGATATTGGCTAATCCAAATTTTCTCTGTTTTTCCTAATTTTTAGGATATATAAGTTATTTTCATGTGCTTCCTATATTTAACTTTTTCTTATATTCACATATAATAAAGTAGTCTTATAAATGTACAAAATGATACAAAAACAAAAAGTTTTGATCTTTTACTAAGAGAGAAAAAATACTTTTTATTGATTTTTGGCTCAAATCTGCACTTTGATAGGAAGCCTTTAAAAGCTAACAAAGTTCTAGTTTGTTTGGAAAATCATATTTATTTGATATATTCTGAAAGTTTAGTCCCTCATTATAAATTTAACATACATTTGAAAATTTCTCCAAGTCTTCGATTGTGTACAAATTATAACTAAATTCATTGTTCTATTATAATTTTGAGAGGCAGAAAAGAAGATATTTTCATACGCCACCATCCCGCCAAAAATATAGTCCCTGCTAGTTTTCAAACACAGTTTACCATTTCTATTTAAAGTTGTACAATTGTGATGAGGAAAGAAAAATATGGTCTTTTAAATTCCTTACACCTCAATATATAAGACATATAAGCAAATATACTTTGAATGTTTCATCTAGTCAGAAACCAGAGAAGAATCCTACCTTAACGCATTTTGAATTTTTTAAGTGCTTATTTTTTTTTTCAAAGTGAAAGCAAAGAAAGCTAAGATAAAATAATATGTATTTAGAGAACTTGTAAGTTGCAAGAACTTGTTTCTGATCCTTTTGTGTTAAATAATAAAATATGTTCAAACCAAATGTATTTATTATTTAAAGTCGGGTACAGCACCAAAAAACATTACCCCTGTAGAGCTATTTTCCGACTACGACTGCAAGCTTGATAATTATATTTTAGCATCTTTTTCGTGGACATAATGCGCTACTTCATGAATACCCTTCATAATTCATTCATATTCACTCAAAGAGAAATGAGCGCTAATTTCGATTTTTTTTAAGCATTGTGCACGTACAGAATTTGCAAACAATGCCATTAACTATAAATTTGCCAAAAGTTGAATTCAAAGGAAATCTTTGGTGGTCTTTGATCATCAAAGTATTTATTAATAGCTTGACTCGTTTTAAGAATTTTCTGCAGGTAGAATATCAAAGACACAGTCATATTGATAAATCGATAAATTTAAATTTCAAATTGCATTGAGTCAACTTTCCATTACATTATGTCAACTCTTTATGACATTTACACACACTACTATTGCGTTATGTCAACTTTCCATTACATTATGTCAACTCTTTATGACATTTACACACACTACTATTGCGTTATGCCAACTTTCCATTACATTATGTCAACTCTTTATGACATTTACACACACTTCTATTGCGTTGAGTCAACTTTCTATTACATTATGTCAACTCTTTATGACATTTACTCACACTACTATTGCGTTATATCAACTTTCCATTACATTATGTCAACTCTTTGTGACATTTACACACACTACTATTGCGTTATGTCAACTTTCCATTACATTATGTCAACTCTTTATGACATTTACACACACTACTATTGCGTTATGTCAACTTTCTATTACATTATGTCAACTCTTTATGACATTTACTCACACTACTATTGCGTTATATCAACTTTCTATTACATTATGTCAAGTCTTTATGACATTACCTCGCACTTCAATTACATTGCATTATATCAGCTCTTTATGACATTAAGTCAAAACAATTTTACGTGGTGTAAAGATGTTTTTATATAATTTCAACTCATTATTACATTATGTGCACCCTCTGCTATTTGGTCTAAGTAGTTCATTACATGATGTGAATTTATCTTTAATTCAATATCAAGTCGCTGTAACATTATGTCAGAATTTTATTACATGATGTGAAAAGAATTGTCACATGTGGCCAATTCTTTACTACATTGTTTCATCAATATGCTACATGACAACGGCAATCTATTACATGATGTTAATTTTCCCTTACTTTTTGACAAATCATTATTATGTTATGCCATTGTATTTTTACAATGTGTCTAAAATGCTTAGCCTTTTGTCAGTATATCTTAGAATATTTCAACTCTTTATTGTGTGACGTAAGGTTTAGGTTATGCCTAAAAGTTCGTTTTGTGTTTTCAATATTACATGTATATATGTTAAACATGCAAATAATTTAAATTAAACATATCAAATATTAAATTATACACAAGACTTAATTAATCCTTAACTAAATATCAGGTTAACACTTATAAATAGGATTATGTTATCCTTATTGACGATTCTTGCGATTGGGTTTTTTTTCCGTTTAATTTCATAATTATCGCAAATCAAATAGTATGTGTCATGCAGCAATATTTTTCTTTTTATTTTGAATTGTTTTAAAAAGTCCGAAACTTCTGATCTAACTACAAAAATTGTCGTAAGCTTTTTATCTGTCTTTAACCCTCCCTTTTTTTAAAAGTGTAAACACATCGTATTGCGTACGTGCACTGGTGGATGAGTGGGGAGAGGGGATGGTGGGTGGGTGGGTGGGGAAAGGGGGATCCCGCCCTCCCATCTTTAGTGACCAATATATGCATGAAATTAATCAATTGGTTTTGCTTTGTAGGACATTGCATTAGTTTCACATAAAGTATAACTGAAATAAATTGAAAACGTTTTATATTTAAAAAAAACCTAAAGCCTTAGACCTTCCAGGCTTTCACCCCCTGGTCCCAAACTTAGACACCATACCGTCCCCCTACAGCTACTCTTTTTAAGAACCCAAGATCGCCACTGATATGTGCCCATGTTTACTGAGGCATGGTCAATTGATTTAAGTGAGGGACTGGTAGATTTTTAGTAACAGAATTCTGGTCCTGGAATAGTTGAAAAATGACTAATTCCAGTGACGTTGCATCGTTTTTGAAAGTTGGGGAAGT